TATAAAAAGAACGATATTCATAGGAGCACTTATATCACTTGTCATTTCGCCGTTCCTGAGCGCGCGAAATTTCAGCCCTATCATTTGTGGAAAATAATCGCTTCTAATTTAAAAACTATTATAGCCTCGACACTTTTGTATTAGGATTTTCGTCTGGAAATGTTCTAAGGAATTTGTCATTAAGAGGACCTCCGGTGGTTTTAGGACACCCTGTATATACGGATACAAATGTACGCGAGTGCGTGTGAGTATTAAACATTCTATCCGTGTACCGGCACTTTAATATAAGTGCGATCGTGCATGTAGAGTTATGATACCGTTAGGACGCGCACGCAGCACAATAAAAGCCAATTGTAAGATTTAAACTTTCTTTGAAGAAATTACATTATTAATGTCGTTACACACGATTTGACAGAGTTATTACGATTGCATACGCAGACATATAATGTTTCAGACTTCATGGTTATCCGATTAATTTTCTAAGTAAAGGCGAGTCTATACATTTATGCGTTAAGTGGGAATCGTTTTCTCTCGTTGCTTCTCATCACGTTGCTAATAACAAATAAATGTGTAGTTGGAATAACTTTCTACTGCAAATGAGATTACGTACACATTTACGTAAAAAATGGAGCAGGTGTTTTTATGAATGTAACACTTTCGTTTATACTAAATATATGTAAAACGAGCGAAAAGGTAGAAAAGGTGAGAGAAAGTTGATGCTCATTTATATTTAATAGACTTCAATGATCAATTAAGACTCGTTATCATGTACGTCGTATACGATATCTGCGTTTAATTACCAACTTTTTTCCCCTCGACACATCTGCGCGCGTTACGCAACAGCAATGAGGCTAACGAGACATTTAGTATCTTCGATAACAAAACCGTAAATTCAATTAGATTCTTCTAATTGTTGGGCTAAATTTAGCGGAAAGAACGCAAAGTTTCTGCCATTTAAAAATGACGCCGTAACTTTTTTATTTTCTAACGATACATCATCGTTTTCTACATTGTATCGCGCTTGATGCTCACGTTTGATTAAAGTGTCCCAGTAATCATTTCGCGCCTGCCTCGGGAATATTTTAATATTTTCAAACTGATAAATTAAATCTCTCTCTGTGAGACATAGATATGCGTTATACCAGGGGACTTTGACAGTTTTGTAACAAACGTAAACGTAAGTTGTAAGGGTTTGATGGACAGAAAAGAAGCGCTTGCAATCACAAACACTAATCAATTGACCGTACACGCACTTACCCGGGTAAATGAGCGCCATAGCTCTGCCTGAAGAATTGCTTCCTCTGCTCCTCGCACATTGCGTCGAACACCATTTTTCATGCTATCGATCTTTATCACGTGTGAGTCGTAAACAAGTCACGACGCGACGACGCTGCTCATCGAGATCCGATTCCGCTCTTCACATCTTCTCTCACGTTGATCGAACATGCGTTTCTCACCGGAGCATAATATCTCTTTTGTTCCGCGATATTCCCCGTATCTCACTTGTTCATGGCTTTCAGCCCCCTCATCCGTTCTTCATTCGGATCGTTTGCAGTTTGCGACGATCGATCACCATCGAGAACGCGCCAGTCGTCGATCGGTATGTCGATCCCCAAGTCTCCCGGGTCTGCGTCAATCGTCGTTCTCGGCGACCGTCAGGATCGCATCCGGAGAGTCATCGGCTGCCCCGAGTCGAGCGTCGTGCACCGAGGATGATTGCCGACTGGGAACAATCGGGTCTCCTGCCGCGAGATCCACGGCCGGCCGGGTGGGATCGATCGACGATCCGGCGCCGGTCGCGACGACGATCGCGCGAGCCGTTGCACGCTGCCGGCGGCGCGTCAGTGAAACAGGACTGTATATAGCCGGCTCGGAGATACATAGTGCGGATCCCGTGTCCCACTAAAGGCGCCCCTCTACTCCGCCCTTCAAGGGGTTCGACACACCATCGGGGTCGACACGCCGCGTTGTGTCAGCGCATCCGCGTACCGCTTAATCGCGCGGAAACTCGCCTCGCTCTTCGGCTCCGCGTGATTGTCGGATTCACCCTCGAACGCGGTTATCGGTCGTTAACCCCTCGCCGCCTCGCGTCCATTTGGGATAGTCGGATTGTGTTCACGACCCTCGTTTTTCATAGGCTCGACGCCAATGATTTTGCAGCGATAAATGCCTTTTTCATTTTCAACGCAACCGGCAAATTATATGAAAAACGCGCTGGAGCGGTTGTTGGCTTCTAGTCGCCTCCTTGGTCGGTATAGTTTCTCGTATACTGTATTAATGGCGACCCTGTACTCATTTCCTTTTTTTTTCCTGAAACACTCGAGGTAGCGATTACAGTAACCGTGTTTCTTCTGCACGCTCGATAAGGAAATTGGAAGCTCTTGGAGAGTATAAGTTAGTGCTGTAAGCGATAAGTTTTTCTCTATTATGAATTAGATACATATATATTGAGTACTAGATGCGGAACAATCTCTATTACGAATAGTGAATTATTATATCAAATCTGTGCTTTACTTGCTAGGAGAAGGACGGCGGAAGCTTTAGTTCTCTCGCACAAATCTTCATTTTCTCGTATTTATCCCCTACTGTGTATAGTCTTTGGTTTACTAACAATAAGAGGCCGCGGACGTTTTCTCGGTTCTTCTGCGTTTTATTGGTAACTAGGGGACACTTGAGCAGCAAGCGGGACGGTCTCCAGAGTAACTCTAGCGAAAAAATCGATATGGGGGTTGAAGGCATCACTCATTCTCCTCACGAAAGCCGTCTCGGCAAACGTGAGTAGCGTCTGGCAGTTGGATTCTTACAACTCTCGCGATATTATGATTTGATAATACCACGATGGACAGTATTTAATAGTCAAACTTGACAGAATGACTGGTACAAATGAATAATTAATGACATGGTCGAAGAGATTTCTCTTAATTATTAAGGACATGCTGTGTTTTCAAGAGAAGTGTTTTTATTATTCTAAGTTATCGCCACTTTTTACATTTTACTCTTTAAGCGCTACAAATATGTTGACTTTTAGATACGTTCTGTAATAAAGAAAAATAATGTTAATAAGAAAGATAATAACGCACTGGAGAAAACTTTTAACGTAGAATTTAAAATATTTCGCATTGTACACCAGTCTCGGACTAATGTGTGTAAGTTAGCCCTACTTTTTCAGAATTTATAAACGTTAATTAGAGTTCTGAACGCCCCCGCAAGAATTCTAGAGTTCTCTATCCGTTTTAGTTTCCATCGCTTCAAGCGATGAAAACGTCATTTGAAAAACTGAGAGCTAACTTTCCGGCGCTCCTATCTCTTAAAAAGGGCCATTTTATTTACAAATTTTGAGATATTTCAATGAGTTCTAGAGTTCCCTATACATTTTAGAAAGAGTTTCGTTCAAATAATCCAAAAATCGAGATCAAAGTCGCACCGAAAATTTAAAAAAAAAGTTCCGTTAATTTTCGAGAATCAGGGGTTCTAACGGGAGTTCCTTTTGCTCCCACACAAGTTCTATCGACGACTTTTCAGACTTGAAGCCCTCAAACCAAAAATAACAAAATTACAGCCTACTTCAATTTATAGGATCCGCAAAACAAAGTCTCGTAACTTTGGCAATGCGCTTCGAGTGTTACGAGACATCGATATAACTCGTGCGAGGGCATAGAAAACTTGTGTCAGTACTGCGGGTTTCGAAAATTTGTACCATTCGGGACTTGTGATTTTCCTGCGCTAACATTAAAGTTGCTCTACCGTCGTCAATGATGACTCTAGCGAATCAAGAGTTACGAGACGTCGATAGATTTCGTGCCGGGGCATAGGAAATCCCGTTAGAACTACAAAATTTTTAATTTTCGGGACTTGCGATTTTTTGTACCATAACATTAAAGTTGATGCAGCGACGTCAATAATGACTTTAGTGCTTTGGGTGATACGAGACATGGATAGAATTCATGCCGGGACAAGGGAGTCTCGTGTTAGAACTGCGAATTTTCAAAGTTTTTACTTGTCATTACTTGGCAATTTTTGTTTCCGCCACTTATAGTGGCTGTATACTTGTCAATAATGATTCCAGCGCTTTAAGTCTGAATAGTTATCGATAGAAATCGGGTGGGAGCAAAGGAAACTCTCGTTAGAACTCCAGATTCTTGAAAATTATCGGAACTGAAAAGTTCGGTCTGACCTGAACCTCGATTTTTGGGAATATTTGAACGGAACGTTTTCTTAAAAGGATAGGGAACTTTAGAATTCATCGAAATCGTTCAAAATCTGTAAATGTAATGGCTCGTTTTATGAGATGACACGCCGTGAAGGTAGATCCCTAATTTTGTAAATGACGTGTTCACGGCTGAAACGATGGAACTCTTTTTATTACCTATAGAGAATTCTAGAACTCTTGCGGCGGCATTCGGAACTTTAAGTAATTTTGTCGAATTGTGAAAAAGTGGAGCTAGGCTTCACACACATCTCGGACTGGTGGAAGTACCTTCGAATTTATTCGATTTTTTGCATTAATGGTAGACTGTAAAAAATATTTGTTTACGGGGAATACAGAAATGTTTAAATTCGTAATTCCCGTACTGTGTGTAAATTAAATTACATTTCTCGAAATTACGATAGTACCATTCAGCCATGCCAGAAACAAAATAGTTTTTAGATTTCCGATTAGTCTCCAAAAAAGTTTTATAAATTCACAGTGTTAGTGCTGTTATTACCGTTTCACTTATTTGACTCTCTAAAAATTCCTTGAAATTTCCATACTCAAACATTTAATCTAGCGTTTCAATTCCTTCATTCCTTACCGGGAAAATATACGGACATGGGCCAGGACCCTACTATTACTACACCCTCGTGTTATCACAGAGCTGCACGTCACTTCCCTCTGCTATCGTTTTTTTAAAATAAAGTTGAATTTATCATACTTGATCCTACCGATGGTTGGTAACGCAAACTTCATTATTTGACGTTGATAAAATCATAATTTATAACGTTGGATAATCTTTTGACGCGTAGATTATCATGTGTTGGTAATCAAGACTTAACTTGGAAAAATTCTGCTCGTCCGCTATGTCTATTCGGATTCTTTGTCAATGGACATTTTGGCGCACGAAATGCGTGTTTAATTTTTTGCAAACGTTGCCTGTTGCGTACTAAATAGTGTCGCGAGGTAATCGTAAAGCAGCGATTTTTCTCGCATGGCTCTTGCTTCCATGATACCGGGGTGTGACACAGCGTGTAACGCAAGAATATATATATTTTTGTAACACGCGAGTTAATTTAGAAACGTCTGTGAATAACGTTACGGTTTGTTTGCGCATGTTTCCCACAGTACGCGTACATTGCGGACCGTAACTGCGACGCTCGAGAAAGTGTAGGTGGAATATTGATTTCCGATTCCTGTTGTATGTGTTATGTATTGCCGGGCGACTGTATTTCAACAAGTTTAGGTGAACCCGAGTCCATTTCCGACGCGCAATAAAATAATACGCGTCCGGTTGTCGCATTAGCTGCGATTTTAATCGCCACCGCGACTGTGAGATCGGCGCGCGAAACCGCAAAAAATCTGCAAAATTGTCCTCGTATTTATTCGTCCGCGCGTGATATCGAGACGAACTCTGTGAAACTGCTTTTCTAAGGATTTGATAAGAAACATGCGCGCGTTTGTTTATTGCGAAATAATATTTCCGCACTTAGCAAGTTCGTTTTAGCTTGTCACGAGGAGCAATTTCGAGAGATGCTAATTATTAGTGCGAAGTTTGTTATCGTCAGAACATATTTATTTAACGTTAATGATTAATTTGCCGACGCATGCAGTCTCGCCGAAAGTTTGGCTCTCACCAGCGAAATTAATTTCGTCGGTAGTTTGCGACAATGCAAGTCGCTAATTAATAGGCGATAGTATTATTATAATGCTGTCGAAGGTACGTTCGAAAATTTACATATTTTTAAGGCTTAAAATAATAACTATTTTTCTCACCGAAAAAAATTCTCACTGCATTAAGATGGCGCGACTTAATGATATTTACAGGCTTGCGCATTTTAATTGTTATTATATTATCGATTTAAATTATAATACGAGCAGAGGCCTCACAAGGACGCGAGATTAATGCGTCATTTTTCACATTTACCCGTCACAGAATCAATTCATTTCTTAAATCAAATAGCAGAGTTCACGTCAAAATGCTGATACAAACCCCGCCTTGCCTCCCGTTTTTCAAGGTCGACCTTGAGCAGAATCGCATTTTCCCACTGCGGAGGGTCGAGGACGAATCAATGGGGATGTTGCGTAGCGATTCCCTCCAGAACGTCCGATTATTTTTTCATCTCCCTTATTTCGTGACTTTTTATTTGTCTCGATAGACGCGGGAAAATTGCTATGTTGAATAATTGCTATGTTGTTTTATAAACGAAAGATAATTTTCTTTTCATTTTTCTTTTCGGTTTTTTTAAATTTGTCGCGTTGGGTGTCGATCTCATTCATTTTTTTTGTACATTTTTACATTGTACATTCATACCTGAAACGTTTATTTAAATTTTAAACAAATAAGGATTTTTAATTCGAGACACGCTGCTTTAAATTTTGACTATAAGTTAAGATACATTTCGCGCGTTGCTTCAACTGAAATTCTCTTTGCGTGTTGATTCATCGCTTCTTATCGGCGACTATATCGGCAACTGTGTTGCTTCTCTGCACTTTTTTATCAAATTACTTCACGTCTAATCCACAGTTCGCGTTTATACTAAAGCGTTAGCGTATCGCAATGTGCAATTTTATTAATTGTACTATTCAGGCACTTTACGTAAAACGTATTTTAGTTTTTCCTACTTCTCGAATTTGTTTATTTTTATACTATTCGTTGCGGGAAAGGTTCGTTTCAAAATTTCTATTTTAATTTCTTTTCTCTTTCTCTTTTCTTCGTTTAAAAATATTACCGAAACTTTTACACCTTCTTACTTTTCCATCTGCCCTAATTATTATTTATTTAGCTCGGCCGCAATATCTTATTTATCATTTAAAACGCAATTGCACGAGAGGAGACTGTTTTACCTAAGTAAAATATAGAAGTTTATTTGCGGCTGCATTTAACGTTAAAAGTTAAAACGGTATACCGAATGTATCACGTTTTAATGGTATAAATATTTTCGTTTTATCTACCAATTTCAGGCAAAATACAAACATAATAAAATAGTGTTTTATTTATGCTTCGCTCAGCATTTACTACTGCAATGTCGAGACACACGGATGTTTCAAGTTACTCTAAATTTTTATCTAAAAAATGTCACATAAATAGAGACTGTTCTCAGAGCAAATTTCAATTTAACATAAATTAAATCGCGTATGTACGCGTGGAACTCGGGAAGTATCGATCAGGTGTTCAATGTTGAAAGTTCAGGACTCTCGTTCATTGAGAGCTCGAGTAGTACCACATTCGCCGTACGACAAACTTTTCAATCGCGTCGACAGGCGGATAGAAAAGTTCTCTATTTTCTATTTCGTTATCAACAACGCACACTTAAAGAATGCGTCGCGCGATGAACGTAGTATCACGTGGGTGTATTTTCGGATTGCGAGGCGATCCGTTAACAGCTGATCGGCGCGATCGTGACTTTCTCGCGCCGCGGCGTGATCCCCCGGGATCCGGATCCCGGGACATTTAATGAATCCATCCCGGCGCCGCGTGCACGCGTGCACGCACGCACGAGACGCGCGCGCGCTGGAGGAGACGGCGAGTGCGCGATAGCTCGGCCGCCAAAAATTCAATCCGGCACGTCACCACGCCGCGGTGTGTATCAACATTGAAAAATCAATGGTAACTCGTGACGTAGGTGTCCCGCCTCAACGGCAGCCAATGGATGCGCTCGTGCGCCCCTACCACCTCCCGCCGCCGTGACTCCGCGAGACCCTCGAGATCCACGCGCGGACCGGCGTGCTTATTCCGTAGCGCACTGCCGCATCGTACGCACGTAAAGTTGAGGAACGCACCGCCCGGGCCGCAGACGACGGACGCTCACAGCTAACCGAAAGAGGGGGACGTCATACGTATACCGCGAGCGCACTCGTGCGAGTGCCCACACGTGTATGAAGTTTTCCAGTTTGATCAGCCAGGCGTGAGGGTCGTCGGCCACGCACGTCAACGTCGTCGATGCGAAGCGACATCGAGCGCGATTGATTACGCAGCGGAGTTGTGCGAAAATCAGAGTCGGCGGTGAGAATCCTGGCGAGATTTCGCGGCTAGACCGTTTGACACATCGGTGTGAGATTGGCCTTCTCTCTCGCTCTCGCGCAAACGAGGCACGAACTTTTTAGACCCGTCTGGGAGAGCGACGGAGAAAGAGTGACAGAGAGGAAGGTATTGAAGGGAGACAGAGGAAGGGACGAGCCGAGCAGACGACGCGCGAAAGGGAGACGAGACGATAAAGAGCGAGATGGCGTTCATGATGCCCGTGGTGAAAAACGAATGGGACATTTACAAGACTAATCGTAATCGCCGGTCGTCCGAGTGCTCGAATCCGCAGACCTGTCGCAGCCGGAAGGTGAGTGGGATGACGTTTCGCTTCGCGCGGTGCGGCGTTTTTCGCGAAATGCGCTTCGCGAGTGACCGAGCACGCGCGCTCTCCCTCGATCGGCGCGGAGTGAGGCAGGTGGAAAATTGCCGGAACCGTTAAGACGCGCGCACGCCTTCGTCGGTTAAATGTTTACATTCCCGTCTCTCTATTTGCGATACAAAGTAGGTTAAAATCTTATACGAAATCGGTCCTAACAGTCGTCCGCGTGGGGTCTTTGGAAGAAATGCTATTTTCAAAATAACTGATATTCCACGAACGAAGATACTTGAGCTCTCGGCGTAAGAGATAGAAATTAATTTTTACATTGGAGCTCGTGTTACGAAAAGTAGCGTGACGACTGAAGAGTGAAACAAAGGTAGAACTCACTTGAGGAATATAAAACTGCTAAAAGTCAAACAAATGCTTGTCACTTCGCGAAGCGCCAGTTGGAAAACGCTGTGCCGAATATAAAAAATAATTCTACGTAGGCGATCATGTGCATTATTGGCAATACATTCAAGACGCGAAGACAATTCTTGGGTAAAGCTAATGTGTGAATTTAAGTATCGTGTGTAATAAGGAACCTGACATATACAGTGTTAAGAGAAACTAAAAAGAGAACACTCTGCGACTTTCGTTTTGTATCGCACGAACCGTTGCATAATGTAGCGATACAAGCCGCTAAAAAAAGATCAGATGTTGATAAACATTCACTCTCGCGCGTGATTGTTTCGACGTGCCAAAATAAAATTTTCAAGTGCCCCGAAGCGATTTTGATCTGCGAGATACTGTAGTGCAGCGGATTTAGATAACGCATGGGTGTAGAAGCAATCCAGTTTGTGTCGACAGCGCCGATGACGTAATTGCGCGTCTTGATTATTACGTATGCATATTAATCGTTTATCGACGGTAACGTACGGGGGGAGAGAAAAACAGGTCTCTGCAAGTCGGGCGACCTCCCTCCTGAAAATTTGTGTGCGCAGTAGGGACGCCGTTTGCAAAATTGCAAGATCCCGCGACTTTGAACAATGTTGGCGCCGGCCCCGGTTTTGATGCGTCATCCGCGCATATCACGTCGCGCGTATGACCGGCGCGGTGGCGCCGAAACGCGCACCGGCGTGAAAAACGACGTTCATTTACGGCGCCCGGGAACAATCCTTTCGCGCGTATTACGTTTCTCGTTGATCGCATCTTGTGCACAGATTTTGGGGATCGACGCGAGAGAATTTGTGCGAGGTCTCCGTCGAGTTCCCTGAAATCGTGGCACGGCGAAAGGACAAAACGCGAACGCGAGAAATCGAAAAGGAATGCCCCGCCACTGCACGTGCGATTTTTCCGCAGGTCCAGCAGGCACGGCCGTCTTGCCAAGTGCGGCACGACCGATCATCCTTCCGTCTCGATTCTCATGGTAAATCGGTTATACCAGCTTTTCGCGGCGTGCCCCTCGTTTTCCCAGCCTGCTCGAGGTGTTTATTTTGAAAGCAGACTCTGTATGCCGACACGACTTTTGTGTTATAGCGAATTCGGTTGCTCGCACTAAGTGCGCACGCAGTGCAATGCTTGTTTATAGTCAATTCTTATGTTTAAGGATCTTCTTAAATACCTCTTGAAATCCAGAAAAACGGCCTGTATGGCGTTCATACGGATCATTTTTTGACTAAATACGTAAGACAAAGTTAAATATAAGAATATATTTAGTATAAACAAGCCTTAGTGTGTACTGAGTGCGCACTAGTGCAAGCAACCAAATTCTCTATTAAGGCACGTCTGTCACCCGGGCCTTGGACCAAGTTTTAGCATCGTGGACACAGACCTTTATAAATAAAATTGGATAGCGACACGAGAGAGTTTTGTTTCAACTACCTGCTGCTACCAAATTTGTTGGGTCTTTCAGAATAAACGCCTTGCTTTAATTCTTACAGCTTCAAGAGATACCGATCTATGTTTACGTGTTTCGCAAATATTGTTTGTACAGATGTATGTTAAGTATTTGTTTTTAAATGCAAATGTGGTAACGATAATATAGTTAGGGAAGATGTGTGTCAACATATCACTGACCGTTTTATTTGTTTGTTGAGAATTGTTTTGATTTATAAAGAGGATCGATTTCCTTGGAGCTCTAAAGTTAATTGCGATTTAAGTTTTGCATCCTTTCGACTGTTCCAAAATATCCTGCTTTTCTTAGAAACGTTATTTACGTGACGTTGTGCAATTTCGATGCGATTATGTACACATAATGCAATTTCCGCGATGCGGAAGGTTAAATCCTTTGCTGTTTTCAGTGTGTCTTATATATATATAACTCTCGGAAAAAGTACGAGTAAGAATTAACAGCAAAAAGACATTTTCATTTCAAATATGAGATCAAGTTTTTTAATGAAAGTCTAGAAAGACTTGTTAAAATATTAATTATATAATTAGATTTCAACTCAAGTCATTAAAGTGGTTTTAAGCAGATTGAGTTGCAAAATTATTGTAAATTTAAACTTTTGCCAATAGTTAAATTCTAATTCATGAATGAAGACACGTGCTACAACGTTTTATTCTCACAGCTGCCTTGCGTTTAAAATCCTTCCCTATTTGTCGCAACATTGCGTTTTTGCGATGTGTATGCATTCCACGTTTACATGTTTTCTGTGTGCGTTACATTTAAGTACAGAATGAAAATCTTTTCACATCAAGCTAGGAATAATTGAGAGTATGAAGAGTTAATTCCGAATTGCGTAATACGCGCGTCTCGAACTAAAATTTCGTTAACGTGAAATTAATTCGAATTTAACTGGAAAAGGAAGCTTTCGCATCTACTTGTGAGATGTTTTTAAATTCGTTATAGCGCTCTTAATACCGAGTTAAATTTTCCAGGTTTACACATTAAAGAGAAGCTGCGTTTAAACTTGCATTAGAAATTTTAACCGTAAGTTTAGACAGTGGAGTTCGATAGCTTCCTCCGAGCTTCAAGGACAGATCCAACTTTTTTTTACGCGATTGATTCGCAGCTCGCAACATCGATCGTTCTCTTCGCGCCGGCGTTCGTCGATAAATAGCTCGGAAAAAATCGGAGTCCCTCTTTTTCTCTCGCGAAATTGTTGCCGTAAATGATCAACTCGAAACCGGTTTCCCCTCGGCGTCGCTAAACGCCCGGCGAAATTGTATTTGCAGACGCTGAACAGGCATGGTCAATAATAGGTGACGATCGAAAACCACGTGTCTCGGCGGATAAATATGCGCCGGCTAGAAGTTTATTTTTATCACGACGCAGGCAGTTATGCGTATAATGTCGAATTGCACGCGGTACGTACGCGGTTTATTGCGCTCGTAAATGTTATCGCAAATGTCGCCTGTGGCGTTGCGATTTTTGCACTTATTCGTCATTTACGTATGAAATAAATTTACGGCTACGGTGACCACGGCAATTGCAAATATTAATTAACGAGAGCTAACAGAGTTATGGAATTGTCATAATCACTAATGTGCCAATGGATGTACAAAAAGTTCCGGCATGACAATGAAATTTTTATTTATTGTACCATGGCATTTCTTTATGCAAATGTCACTTATTACTCGAATTACTCTTCTTACATATTACATTTTTGTTACGGCCGTACTTTTCCCAGAGAGACTTTCATAATTAAAAATTATGTATGAGTTATAATTGCATATTGGTGAACGAATGAATACAAAACAATGATTAATCACGATTTAGCTATGAATCATTTTTGGATAATTTTGAACAGATGTCGTTTATGAATATAAATTCAATTCAAGATTAAAGTGACGTCGAGATAAGTTTAAAGATTATGACATCGTGCAATGATTATCGGATTTATGGGCGTGAAACAAACTTTGTTAAATCAATTCTCATGAATGCGGACGTCCCCATAGGCCTATGTGCTTCGTATCCGTGACGCGATATTGCGCAAGTTTTGGTCAGTTGGTATTGCAATGTATCGTGCTGTGAGCCCTTGTACGGATTCTCAATCGTCGAAAGTCCCTTATCTGTCGCTCCATTCATCCAACAATCGCATAATACGTAATAAAATATGATTGTACGTATATTTGTACCTATACTGCGAATTTAATCTTGCTGACAATTAAAATTAACGATCGGTTCTCTCGAAAGATGATTATCGATGCTGATATGATAAAACTCGGGTAAAACGGATTTCCTAAAATTTTTATTTATGATATGTCGTGTATAATTTTATGAATCATTCGCTTCGTCAGTTTAAACCAATTAACGTGTTGAGAAACCATTTATTTAAATGTTCTTCAGTCACATAGTTTAAATAAGAAGTCACTGTGACAAGAGTCCCATTTTTAAGTTTTTCAATCAATTTTTATTGCTCATATTTTAAATGCCTTGATAATCCTATGTCGTTTCGTGAAGTAATAATGATATTTTTGCCGATAATAGTAGAATTTTGTCGTTAATGTGTTGCATAATACGCCTAATTTTCCGTCTCCTCATTAAGGTTTTTCCCATTTGCGATAATGCTTTGACTTAAGATTAAATGTAATGTTAAGAAAGAAAACACTGTTAAGTTTCTAAAAAATAATATTTTTCTCAAGCACGTAGCTAATGACAGTAATCACAAAATTGGAGGACCCCTTGAAAAGACTCGGCGCAAGAATGACGTAATTCCATAATTCTTGAAGCGTGAGGAGAATGTTTTATTAAGGGAATATTACGACTTTAGCGGGAATGCGTGGTCGCGACAAAAGTGCGCGTATGAAAAGGATATTCGCAAGGTACAAGGTGACATAACTGTTTTTACTTTATGTAAGTTAGCACTCTTCGGTTTCACCCCGAGTATTTTTGCGGTGCCGTTTCTTGAACTTGGTCTGCTACACTTAAAGCGAGGATAAAGTACAAAAGCCGGCGGTTTATGGATGGATACGACGCACAAAGGACGATCGACAAAAAGCGAGGACGTCATTTGCTCTTAATTCTTTCCTCGTCTACTTATTAAAAAAAAAATTAGACGACTATTATTAAATGGATCAAAATATTTTGAGACGATTTTTTTAGACTGCCGCATTATGTTTATCTGCGTGCAATAAAAAGATATTTCAAAATCTTGATTCGCTAAATTTGCAATTATATCCTTGCAGTTTTTAATAAAGATTGTAATTATAATCTTCCTATATTATCTGAAATATTATGCATAACGCGATAATAATTATATGCGTGTAATCTAATATGATTAACAAAATAGCGATTAATTAGTTACCGGCAATTAATTAGTTATTCGGTGTTACGTATAATTTTCAAATCAATAAAATCATTATTTAGCATGGAAAAATATATCTATATCGTATACTTTGTTCCGTACGCGATACATAATGAGAAGTTAATTTCCGTCACGGATGATGCGTTGTACCGTTATAAAAACGCGTGAACGGGATATTTTTAATCAACTCTTTGTCCTTCCATGTCGTTATTTAGAGCCAGCTCGAGCACGTGACACTGAAAGTTACAAGTACGCAGTACGAGATAGACTGCGATTATGACTGCCAGAACATTAGCGCAATCTCACGAGAAATCATTGCCAATTATATAACGCGAAGCTATTAGTTTGTGTACTGCGCGTATTTTAATCTGTGCAACGTGCATTATCACGATTATACGGCTGTATCAACGCCTAATTATAATCACGCGCACTTTCGTGAAGCTCCCTTTTTTTTTGTTTACGCGAACGCGTATCGGAGAACCGTTGAAAAATGTTCACAAAGTTCGTTAGCAATGCTGAATTTAGATAGAAGTTTGTGCATTTAGATTTGCATATAAATTTTGATAACGACGTTTCGAGCTTCAGAAATCCCCGTAAATCACACTCGAATTAATTCCGAAAGCTGGTGATAAATGATAATTGAAATGTACGTCGGCTGGTGTTAACAATCAAAATACATTTAATTACGGAATTAACTATCTCGATCGGCTTGAAGAATCAAATTAATATTTGACGTCAAATTATTACTTGTTTTTCCTTCAAGTAATCATTTAGAGATTTAATTATTCCTGCAATTTGTCGACATTTGCGTTTTATTGTATTATTTTTAAATCTGCACTACGTCACTATTATTGCCAATCTTCAAACTGTGCGCAAGATGTTAGCTTTCGAACGAGGTTAGACTTGAGCCAACGGCACACGATACTATTTTTCCGACTGGATTGCTTACGAGAACCAATAAGGATGCAGAGTGTTACATCAGGTGACTTAAGGCTAAATCCTGATTGACTTTCGTAAGTAATCCAGTAGAAAAAATAGTATCAATAGTATCAAGCCAACGGGCTTTACTCGTTTCGTCGCGGTCGACGTGAAACTGGGAGCATTCATGAATCCTAAACAAACGAGCAACTAGGCTGCGAACACCTGTTCTGAACTTGTCCTATACCTACGCCGATAGCGCGGCGAATAATCGATCGTTGTTCTTATTTTCAATACTTCTATTTTTATCTCGCGTAACGCTTTGATAAGAGGTTCTTTATAAATACGACTGAGGGATCGCGGTAAGATTAAATGAGAAACATTTATAGGCGGGTAAACTCCGCGCGCGCGCGCGTATCAGCGCACTTGCGTCGCATTTCGCCCGTGATACGTGGATTGCGTAACCGCACGTAACACAACAGCGAGAGTAGATTCGGCGAGGTTGAAGCCGCAGACAGGGCAAGTTAGTTGCTGTGACAATAACGATCATATTTGAATAAAATATATTATCGAGAACTTTAACTTATACGATATTCTAGTAAATGATCCTCGCGCATCTCACATGTCTAATAGAAAGAATTTACAGAAGACGTAGCAACAAATGAAGTAATTTTATAATAATATATTTAGAAAATATGAAGTACTTTAATATCAAGAAAAATTTTGTAATTTTATGAAATCTTTATTAGAATAGGCTTTTGTTCTTCATTCAAGGAATTTACGCGTACGGTGAATAATAGGAAACGTAATATAGATTCTCAATGTTATAATTAAAAGTGGTTTTGTAAACAGCTTAACAAATCGTCGGTGGTAAACCTATTTCAGAGAATATGAGAATCACTGTGCGAGCGCTGGCTATCGTAACTCGATCTCGCACACTGTATACGTGTAAAAGGAGGGAAGCTTGCACGCACGAAACAAATCTGACCTAATCGGCCACTTACCGCCTCCTACCGCGATGACAATACGAGCACGTGGTCGCAAGTTCGGACGTGGAAAAGGGCACGTATGCGTCGTAGGCGTCGAATGCTGCGCGCGTGCGTCATGCGCGCGATGCTTTTACCGATTTTTATCGCACCTGAGCGTTGAATAATTCAAGACGAGTCGGTCGCGATCCGCGTTCGGGAGCCTTCGCGAAACCGCACAGCTGTTATTATCAGTTAGCGAAATGATATCGCTATTACCGAGAGGGAAGCGCACGTTTGTACACGAAGAAAGAGGCGCGCGCGTTCTCTCGCGAATTAATTGCGCACCCGTTAGGGTTATTGCCGTTATCGCGGTTCGCGAACGGGATTTTCTTGACTTTGGCGTGTACATATTTGGACGATAAACGCTGTTTAAAGGAAGTCGCGGGTTATAGTTGTCAAAATATTATTATAATGTAGAGGTGACGCTCGTTTTATGTGTACACAATTAATATGAGTTTTGTAGGCCAAATATCATTGCGTGATCGTCATGCATCAACTGGTATCGTATCTTAGCGTTAAAAACCTAAAGCCATACATCAGATCTGTATCATTTAATACTTTGAATCGTCTTTGAGTATATGTCAGATAACTCCTTAATACATTGACTTAAAATAATTTGAAATGACAAATAACGTTACATTTTATATGTAGTA